ACTGTAATTACTGATAGGTGTGAGTTTACTGCTTTCATTTTGCAGTGTTTTTGTTTTTTGTGGTGCTGAATTCCCTTTTGTTTGTGGATTTTTTTCACTTATTTTGTTTTTGTAGATCTTGTGTTTACTGAGACTTTATGTTTTTCTTCTTTATTTTGACGTGTAGGTTTATTAACTTTCCTTGTGGTTCCCTTGAAATTTACTCTGAAGTTCCTATGTTTGAACCAGTCTTTGATTACTTGGTATAGCCTTGCCTTTCTCTCCATTTGAAAGTTCTATACCTACACTCTTTATCCCTTCTTTTATTGTTCTGACGTTGTTGTCATTTACAGATTAACTTCTCTGGTTCCCCTTTGTAAATATTTTAGCTTTGTTTTATTCTTGAGAGTTCATGACCTAGGTTGGTATCTGGCTGATGCAGTCTTGCATCCTAGATTCAGGCTGTCATCTGATGTTGTTTGTTCTCCAACTGAAGGACTCACTTTAATAATTCTTGTAAGTTTGGTTTGGTTTTTACATAGTCCCTTAATTTCTGTTTATCTGAAATGTCCTAATTTCACCATCATATCTAAGCGAGAGTTTTTCAGGATATATTATTCTCGGTTAGCAATTTTTTTCTATCAAGGTTTTATATATGTCATCCCTTTGCTTTCTTGCCTGCATGGTTTCTGGTGAGTAATCAGAGCTTAATCTTATGGTTTCCCCTCTGTATGTGACTTTTCATTTTTCTCAAGCTGCTCTGAGGAGTCTTTCTTTGTCTTCAGTTTTAGCAGTGTGATTATGATATGCCTTGATGATTTTCTCTTGGGATCTATCCTATATGGGGTTTGTTGAGCTTCCTGGATGGTCAGCTTTTCATCTTTATGATATTAGGGAAGTTTTCTGTCAGCAATTCTTCAGTGATCCTCTCTGTGTTTTCCATTTTCTCCACCTGTTCTGGAACTCCGATCACTAGCAGATTTTTGCTTTTGATTGTATCCCACATCATTCTCAGGGTCTCTTCATTCTTTTCTCTGATTTTTCCTCAATGTGTAGCTGAGTACTTGTCTTCATTTTCACTGATCCTGTCTTCCATTGTTTCAAACATGCTCTTCAGACCTTCTATAACACTGTACATTTCTGAAATCTTGTTGTTTATCTTTTGGATTTCTAATTGTTGTTGTTATATGATTTCTAGTTGCGAATTTATTTTGACATTTTGTTCCTGTATTATTTTCCTGAATTCTTCCATTGTTCTGTCTGTCTTTTCCATTATTTTGTCTGCCTTTTCCATGGCTTTTCTATTTTTTCCTCATTTTTGTCTGCTCTTTCTTTCAACTCTTGGATAGCTCTGAATATTAGAGATTTGAATTCTCTTTCAGGTAGTTCCAGTGCCTTTTCTTCTACCAGAAGATTATCTGGTGTTTTATTTTGGATGTGTGCTGGAACCATCCTGTCCTGTTTTTTGTATGTTTTGATATTGTCTGCTGTCTTTGGGACATTCAGTAGTTATTTTCTTCTTTTACTGAATGTAGATTTGTTTGTTTTATCCTGCTATTTTGTTTTATTTGGTTATGTCTGAGCAGGCCGACCGGGCATTCTTTGTTGTTTTCTCGTCTGTGTGCACAATACTTCTCACTACCTTGTCCAATGGGCAGGGCCAGTAGCTCATCTCTGGTGCAGCAGGGTAGGTCTATCAGAAGGGGAGGGGCTGGGATAGGTTGTTTGTGGCGGGGCCAGTGGTCAGTGCAGGGCAGATTCTGGCAGACACTTCCTGTGCTGCTCAGGGGGTGTGATGTTCAGTGCACAGTGCAGACAGGCAGGAAGAAAGGGAGAGATTGTGATGCTTGGAGCTAAGCAGGTGTGGGAAAAAGAGAAAGAAGAGAGAGAAACAGGAGCTAAAAAAAAGTACTGCGGGAGCCTGACGTTAGAGAAGCACAGACCTGTGGAAGCTGTGTGCTGGTGGCTTTATAGCCAGGTGGTAAGGCACAGTCCACCAAGAAGGGACAGATAAACAGCACACACAGCTAGATGGACAAGAGAAAGGAAAGGAAGGAAGGGAGAGAGAGAGAGAGAAGAAATTAGATTTTTTTTTTTTAATAAAAAAGGAGAGAAAAGCACACATGGTTAGGTGATAGGGAGAAAGGAATGGAAAGAATGTAGAGAGAGACAAGAAACCAAAGAGGAAAAAAGAAGATGCCAGGTGGTTGGGAGGAAGGAAAGGAAGGCAGATAGGGAGAGACAAGAAAGTGAGGAAAAAAGTAGAAAGAAGAAAGAAAAAAAGAAATGTCCCAAGGGAGCCCACCAGATGTGGATCCCCAGCTGAGCAGCACTGCACAGCCAGTCCAAAGGAGCAGAGATGCCACACAGTACCACGTGTTCAGGAGAAGGGTAAGGAAGAGAAATAGAGAGAGACAAGAAAACTAGAAAGAAAAAAAGAAGAAGAAGAAAGACAAAAAAGAAAAATGCCCTAAGGGAGTCCACTGGAAGTGAGGCCCCAGCTGAGCTGTGCTGCACAGCCCATTAAGAAGGAGCAGAGATGACACAGCACCAGCTTTTCAGGAGATAGGTAAGGAAGGAAGGTATAGAAAGACAAGAAACCCAGATAAAAAGAGAAGAAAGTAAGGAAAAAGTATGCCCCAAGGGAGCCCACCAGAAGCAGGTCCCCAGCTGAGTGGCACTGCACAGCCCATCAAGAAGGAGCAGAGATGGCACATGGCACCAGGTATTTAGGAGAAGGGTAAGGAAGGAAGGTAGAGGGAGACAAGAAGAGCTAAAGGAAAAAAAGATGTCCCAAGGAGCCTACTGGTGTGGTGTCGTGGACCAGGGAACTGGCTCCCAAGCCACGAGACACAGCCCATCTAGAATGGGCAGTGATGGCACAAGGAGTCCCAGTCAGGCGTTCAGGAGAAAAGAAGGGAAGGATGGTAGAGACAGACACGAAATTGAGAGAAGAAAAAAAATCCCCAAGGGAGTCCACTGGCTTGGTGGTACAGACCAGGGAAGTGACTCTCATGCTCCTAGACACTGCACAGCTCATCTAGAGGAGTGGAGATGGCATGCAGTGCCAGGTATTCAGGAGACAGGAAAAGAAGGAAAGTAGAGAGAGCTGAGAACCCGAGAAATGAAGAAAAACAAAAAGGGAAAAAGAAAAAGAAAAAATAAATAAATAAAACGGAAATGCTCCCAGGGATCCCACCAGCATGGCGGTGTGGACTGGAGAAGTAGCTCCCAAACCTTGAGGCACAGCACGTCTAGAAGAGGTGGATATGGCACACAGTGCCCGGTACTCAGGAGACAGGATAAGAAGGAATGTAGAGAGAGATGAGAAACTAAGAAATGAAGAAAAACAAAAAAGAAATAAAAAGCATCCCCAGGGAACCCACCCACATGGCAGCGAGGACCAGGGAAGTGTTTCCTCAGCCAAGCAGTGCTTTACAGTCTATCAAGAAGAAGTGGAGATGGCAAATAGAACTAGGTGTTGAAGAGAAAGGAAGGGAAGGAGGTGAGAAAGAGAGAGAAGAAACCAAAAGAAGCCAAAAAAAAAAAAAAAAAAAAGCAACAACAGGAACAAAAAAATGGCACTGAAGGAGACTGCCAGTGTGGGCATGGTGAATACAAGCAGCACAGAGCCAGCACCTCCCCGGCTGAGCGACCTTGGCCCTACAGGAAGTGGTGAAGGCTGAGCGGGAAGAAGGGTGGTGGATGGGAAAGCATGTATGGCTGGTTACCAGGCATTCTGTCTCTTGCTGGGAGCTCCTTGAAGCTGTCTTCCCATACTCCCAGTCTGCTGATCTCAGTAGCTGAGGAGTTCAAGACAGCAAATCCATGCCTCGTTAGCTGATAGGGGACCTCCACTCCGTATCTCTCCTTGCTCTCTGCTCTCTTCATCAAGTGCTTGCTTGAGTTCTTTATCTCTTCATTTGACACTGAGGGTTCCAGGATTGACGTTTGTCTCTGTTTTACTTAGTTTTTCAAATATTTCTGGTGGCGGGACTGCATGGTGCTTCTGTCTATAGTGCCATGTTGGCTCTGCCTCCTGGAGAGCTAGTGACCAGAACCTCTTTAAAAATAAAAAAAAGTAAAAAGAAGACCTTGCTGAAAGAGAGGCTCACTTCAGTCTGTCTTGGAATTGGGCTGGTCTGTGCAGCATACCTTTGCCCCCAACTTTTCTGAGAATGGTTCCTTCTTCTGGGCCACGGGGTTCCCATAGTGGCTCCTGAAAGCCTTGTTCATATAAGTTTCCCACCCTCTTAACTACATTGGGTGGGACCAAGGATAGGCATCCAAACAAAGCTGGGACAGAGAACCTCTTTCCTAAATAATCTGGAATTGGGGCTGAGCACTTCTAACATGAAAATGCTAAAAGATCTAAAACAGGAGAAAGCCTTACTACTTTCTGGAATCAAAAGGGAGTTCTTAAACTCAGGAACAGGTAGGGTGGTCTTGTGAACTGGAAGGAAAATGTAACCAGAGGAGAAGAAGCAGATGGATAGAAGGCAGACTCCCTTGACGGTGGGGCCATGGTGAGTGTGCCTTGGCTCCCCACAGCCTAGTACAGTGCCTGGTACATAGTCAGCACTTGGTCTGGATTTGTTGAATAAGTTAAAAGGCACAGGGAGAAGTAGAGGACACAGAGAGAGTGACAATGGAGACAGATGCATCTCCAAACCCAGGAACGCCAAGGATTGCCAACAACTACCAAAGCAGAAAGAGACAAGGACCTTCCCTTACAGCCAACAGAGAGCACCTACCCTGCCGACACCCTGAATTCAGACTCCTGGTCTCCAAAACTGTGAGACAATAAATACCTGTTCTTTAAAATCACCCACTTGTGGCATTTTTTGTTACGGCAGCACTAGCAAACTAAGAGCTTGGATGAGGTGTCTCATTGTCTTTCCTGCTTAGCCATTCTCACTTCCATAATTCTTTGAGGATGTCATTTGGATCTTTGACAAGAAAAACCCTCTAGATTCCAGGAGAGCAGAGCAAAGGGTGCAGGCAGCTGACCAAAATGAGACCTACCTCAGATGCAGACCTGCCTTGATTCTAGTCCAGAACAGAAGTGAGGACTGCGCCACTCTCACAAATGGCCCAGTGGAAGAGGTTCTTGGCCAGAGGAGATAAAACCTGTGAGGGGAGTGGAGAGCAGGTGAGTTTATGCTCACGGAGAGAGGGTCAATGATACATCTGTTCTTCCAGAACTACCTCCATCGACAGCTCTGCCCTGGCCCATTGCTCTGGAGGCAACTCAAGAAAGTTCCTAGACTGAACTAGGGGCCTCCCCAACAGAACCTCAGAGGGGTGGACCAGGAGCACAGAGTGAAGGCTAGAATAGGAAGTGTGTGGCACACCTTGGTTATCAACAACCAAAAGTACTCTGAAGGACAGCTTGGCAATTCCCAGAAAAACTTTAAAGACACATTTCTGAGTTAGCATTTCCATTACTCAGAATTTATCCTAAGCTAAACGATCATGGAGGCACACCAAGATGTATAAGGATTTTTTTATGCTACAGTGTTTATAACAGTAAAACATTGGAAATAACACAACTGTCCAATATTAGGACATTGGTTTAAAAAATTAATTTGCATTATTACCATGAAACACTATGTAAACATAAAAATAAATATCATGGGAGAATATTTAACGCTGTGGTTGTTGTGTGCTGCTGAGTTGATTCCGACACATAGTGACCCTATAGAACAGAGTAGAATTTCTCCATAGGGTTTCCAAGGCTGTAATCTTTACTAAAGCAGATTACCACATCTTTCTCCAACAGTGCGGCTGGTGGGTTTCAACCACCGACCTTCCGGTTAGCAGTCAAGTGCTTAGCCACTGGGTCATCAGGGCTCCTTAAGAATAATATGGAAGAATATTTAATGCTAAGGGAAATATTTACACTGATATGTTAAGGGAGGCTTTTTGACAGACACCAGTACCAGTTGCCATCAAGTTAATTCTGACTCATGGAGAGCCCATGTGGGTCAGAGTAGAACTGGCCTCTATAGGGTTTTCAGTGGGTGATTTTTCAAAAGTAGATTGCCAGGCCTTTCTTCTGAGGCACCTCTGGGTTGACTCTCTCGAACTGTCAAGCTTTCTGTTAACAGTCAAGAATGTTACCTGTTTATGCACCCCAGTGATTCCTTTTGATAGACAGACAGATAGACAGATGATGGATGGATGGATGGATGGATGGATGGATGGATGGATGGATAGATAGATGGATAGATGGATAGACAGAATGAATCATGGAGAAAATACTAGAAAAATACATGTCAAAATGTTAATGATAAGTAACCCTGGGTAGTTCAATTGTGGGTGTCTTTTTTCTTCTTTGGGCTTATCTATAGTTTTCCTTTATCTCCCCTCTAAAAGTATATAAAGATTTCCCTCTCAGTATTCAACCATGAAGCTAATACGCATTTTAAAAACATGGTGCTAGCACTGACCTCTGCTCAACGGTGAGGTAGCTGGAAGGTTTGTTACAGCTCCCAGCACCTCCTAATCTCGTATTCCACCTCAGCTTCTCTGTATTTCTCCCCAGCCCATTCCCACACCAGCCAGACACCTTGTGGCCCCAGACTTTGTCTATGTTCCACAACCCCTGGTCCATCCCTCCCTGTGCCCTCTTCACATCTTTCGTCCCTCTTGCCCACGTCCCCCAGATCACCTCCTCCAGCGCACTTCCAAGCCATCAGACCACCTCAGAGGAGGCTCTACATTTTCTAGTGCTCTGCTTCCCCTTGATGTCTATGCGGATCCGGCTTGAAGCCAAACAATGACACTGCCTTGCTCTTGTCCATAATTTATACCCACCCCTACTTCCCAGGAAAAGTGAGGCAAGTCCTAACATTACGGTTAGGAAAGAAAAAGTGTTCAACCAGGCTAGATGAGGAGACTGTCATGACTGCAAGCTACGAGTGTCTGGAGCTCCCTGGGGGCCAAGGAGAGTTTGGTCATTAGCTCTTCATCCTCTGATGTTGTGCAGTGAGCAGGGTCAGCCCTGAATCCAGGCCTTGTAATAAAAGGTGCCCATGGATGAACTGCTGGTCTCCAAGGGGCCCATGAGCATCATGGCTGGGTGTGAGGCCTGGTGCCAGGGTCATTTACAAAAACAGAGACACTTTCACCTCCTGCAGACTCTCCAAAGATGGTCACTGAGCCCAGATTCCCTCCAAAATTGGCAATGTTCTCCTGGACCCAGTGCAGCGCAGCCACCCGGTCCAAGTGACCCCGGTTCCCCCGGCTGTGCTCGTCTCCAGTGCTGTGAGTGAGAGAAGAGGGTAGGGGTGGGGACAGAGATGTCACAGCAGGGCTCTCAGGACTGTAGATGGGGCAGGGCTCTAGCTGGGTCTTCCAGAATAAGACTGAGCTTCCACATCCTGACACAGGGGTCTTCACCCACCTTCCCCTCCTATAACATTGTTCTCTTTAGGACTCTACGTTTATTCATTTGGCAAATATTTATGTGTGAACCCTTAACTGCTATGCTGCATGTTAACTGTCATGATAGAGGAATGTGCAAAGTACTGAGATGAGTATTTCAGAGAAGGTAACATTTGGGCGGGGTCTTGTAGGATGAATAGGAGTTTGTTAGGTAGAGTAAGCATTCTAGGCAGAGGGAACAGCATATGCAAAAGGTCAGAAGCAAGTGGACCAGTGGGGCCAAGGAATGAAAAGGTGGGGGGCACTTATGAAGGGACTTGAATGCCTTACTAAGGAACTTAGCAAAGGTCTCCTTGGGGACTGACCATATCAGAGCTAGGTCCTAGCACTCTTACTTTGAGGGCCAATATACAGTGGGGAGAGTCTGATGTCTTACATGAAGAATCCCCAGATCCCCAGGCGATACTGAATGGTTACCACCACTACATCTTCATGGGCAGACAGGGCCAGCCCATCGTAGGTTGATGCCCCACCCACCACCAGACCACCTCCATGGATCCACACCACCACCTGGACAAGAGGAAGCAACCATGTTCGTTACAGGCAGCAGAGCTGGGAGGGACCTCAAGAGGTTTTTGGTTTGGTTGCCTATCTCTTGGTCATAACCCAAGGAGGCCATTTTCCAAAGTCCACAGTCCCCGGCAAGGTTGGAGACTTATCTTTCCTTCTCCCAGCAGGGCCCAGGCCACCACCCACTCAGTGCACCCTGGCTGGCCCTACTTTTTTCCACAGCACACCTGCACTCCAAGTCTCCTCATGCTGCCAGTGGGAACAGCGCAGGCAAGAGCGTCATTTTCCCCAACAGTCTCATAGTCCTCATGCCTGGACAGCTCCCCCAGCTCAGCAAACACTGCACAGGGCGGACTTTGAGTTTCAGCTTCGCCTTATTTAGCTCTTGTGCAGGGAATTGAACTTCTCCCCGAGAGCAAATGATTATCTCAGGATGAGCACTTGCCCCCGACAGTATCTCTTCCTAACACGCTTTCCCTCTGCCTCCTCTGAATCCCCAGACCCCAGCGACTCTCCAAAGCCCAGCCTAAAATCAGCCTCTTCCAAGCTGAGACCCTCCCATGTGCCAGAGACTGTGCTAAGAATTGAGGATGAGAATGGACACAACCACTCACAGCTCATGGTTCTTGAGTTTAAAGAACTCACATAGCTGATAAACAGAGACCCATAATAGAAGAATGAAAGGTGAGCCTTTGCCCCCACCTCCTTGGGCCTTACAAACACATGTAGGGCCAACTTCTAGGCACTAGTTCACAGACACTGTCCCCCACACCTAAGCACCACACCCTGGGTGCTCCTGGGAGATTGGCTGGGTGCTAATGCCTCTCCCTCCTCCACCCCAGGGATCACCCAAAGATCCTTTCCCTAAGTAGCCATTGCAATCTGGGCCCCCAGCAGCGCCTGCCCCCACTCTCCAGCCTGTGTCTGGCACCCTGCCCCACCTCTGGGCCTCTGTTTATTCTAGACATTCTGACTCACTGCCTGTGCCAAAAAGAGTTAGCAAAGGAAACCAGCTACAAGAAAATCCCAGAAATCAGGCCAAGGGCAAAGGATAGTGCTTCTTGAACTCTCCCAGGCCCCACACCCCAAGCCTCCATCTCTGTGTGGGGCACTGAGAGTTGTCGCAGACAGGTGTTGATGGCCTGAGGAAGGGTCACACGCATGCTCGATGTCCTAGTCTAGGTCAAAGAACCCCCGCTTCCAAAAAAAAAAAACAACCCACCGTTGTCATGTCAATTCCATTCCTAGTCATGGTGACCCTACAGGGCAGAGTAGGACTACCTCATAGGGTTTCCAAAACAGTAAATCTTTATGGAAGCAGACTGCCACATCTTCCACCCACAGAGCGGCGAGTGGGTTTGAACCACTGACCTTTTGGTTAGCAGCCGAGTGCTTAACCACTATGCCACCAGCACTGTTTTGGGAATGAAGAAACCCATGTTCTTGCCTGCCAACTCACTGTGTGACCTCCCTTCCCATCCTCGGGCCTGTAAAGGAAGGGTTGGAATGTTTACTTATTTAACGTTATCTGAAATGGTATCTTAGCTGCTCTGGGTATCAGATTCTTAATCTAGCAACTAAAAGTAATCACTCTTGTCTGTCGATCAGCACAAGAGAACTTGGAAAAATGACAATATGCATGAGAGGTGTGCAGCAAACTCCCCTGACGCCATGTGTCACTGGGAGGAAACAGATTTTGGAAAACTTGTTGGGTTTCTCACGGTCTCTGTCTGACCCTGGTGGGTAAAGAAAGCCCAGTTGCTATGGAGCTGACTCCCAACTTGGGGTGACCCATGTGTGTCAGAGTAGAACTGTGTTCCATAGGGTTTTCAGGGGCCTTTCTTTCCAGGTGTTTCTGAGGGGACTCAAACCTCCAATCTTTCAGTTAGCAGCCAAGTGTGTTAACCGTTTGCACCATCCAGGGACTCCAAAGGAAGCCCTGGGACCCCTGAAATAACAACCTTCACCCCTGATGCCCCCACCACAAGCTGCCTTCACCCCCTCCTTGTCTATGGCAGAAAACCCTAGAGAGTTGGTGCTCAGAAGCCCTGAAGGATGGTTCCCACTGCTTACCGGCAGCCTGCTTTTCCTGGTCAAGTCAGCGGGGGTGTAAATATTTAGGTAAAGACAGTCTTCAGAAAACTTCAGGGGAATGCTCTCCTTTCTGTCGGTAATGATTTCCGAGATCATCTGTCCTGTCGCTGTATCTTGGGAGCACCTGGGGAGGGAGGGAAGAAAGAACCGCTGAGCTTCAACCAGGTCTAAGTAAGGCTGTGTCTCCAGGGCTCAGGCTGGGCTGTGGACTGCGAGGTTTAAGCCTCTGCATGGAGTTGTTATTGTCAGACTCCAAGACATTGGAATGGGTAACGGGCTACTTGGGGTGAAGGGGGGCTGAGAGGGCTGTGGATGGGGAGGCTGGGACTCACTAAGGTATCCCACTCAGAATGTCATTTCTTGGGACTTAACCCTAAAGAAATGTTGATGGCTCTGCACAAAGATTTAGCTACAGGATGTGCATCATAGTGTTATTTATGTTATCAAAAACACTTTAATACCCCCAAATAGGAGATTGGATAAATAAATTATGGTTCAAGCACTCAATTCAATGCAGCTATTAAATGTCGGACTATGATATTTAATGGCATAGGACAATGTTCAGGATATAGTTTTAAGTGAACAAAATAGGCAGCCAACCCATCTGTAGCGTATGATTCCATCTCAAAGGGAGAAAGTATAGTGATACAACAGGAAGGAAAAGGAAAAAAAAGACAAAAAAAGTGCTGAAAAAACAGTGGTTCTCTCCGGGTGATAGAATTGTATATGAGTTTCATTTTCTTGTACTTCTGTGTGTGTGTGTGTGTGTGTGTGTTTTAAACTTTTCTATAATGAAAAAGTATTACATGTGTAATCAGGAAATAAAAACTGTGAGTAGGTTTTTTTTTTTTTTTTTTTAAAAGAAAGCAGCCAAAAGCTGGGCCTTGGAAGCCCTCAGAAATGTCTTGCTGAGGAGAATAAGGTCTGAATGGGTGGAAGCAGGTGGCCCCAATCCCCAAAGGGAGGCATGAGGCCAGCCAGGAAAGCTTTGTCCTTTTGACCAGCTTGACCGGGGGACCGGGACCCATGGACCATTGCTTTGCTCATGAAGAGTCAGCTGGGGACACCTGGGAGTTGGTAACTCGCCTAGTCATCACACTGCCCCCATCTCCTCACAAGCCCACTCCCCCACCATGCCAGGGTTCAAGGCTGGAGAATAAATAACATCATTACAGTTGATTCCCCTCACCCGGTCAACTGTTTATTTCCTCCCAAATATTGATCATATTCTAAGATATTACATAACTCTACGGGGCAATTCTACTTTGTCATAGGTGCCTGGGTGGCACAAGAGGTTTGCAATCAGCTAGTAATCTAATGGTTGACCATTCAGACCCAGCCAGTGGCTCCATGGAAGAGAGGCCTGGTAAACTGCTTCCATAAAAGGTGCAACCAAGAAAGTCTATAGAAAAGTTCTACTCTGTAACACAGTGGGTCGCCATGAGTCAGAATCTACCCGACGGCAATGGGTTTGGCTTTGGTTTTCTAAATATATCACATAATTTATTTATTAATATGCATATTTTTAATCTCCTCCTGCTAGAATGCAAGCTCCGTGAACTGAGAAACTGTTGTTTTGTTCACTTAATGAATCCCAGAACAAACTAGAAGCCAGTCAGACTCTTCTTGACTTGACTCATTTCTGTGTCACTTTGAGGCAATCATCCCCATCAAAAGATGCCAAAGCCCCACCCCAGTGGCTTACATTGGAGGGTAAGAGGTGGTATTCTTCACGAAGTTCCAGGATTCCGCAGGCTGCGGCGGAGCGAATCTCAGGGATCCAAGGCCGGGGGTGGGGCTTGGCAAAAGGGATTCCGCGGAAAACAGCCACGGGCTTTGCAAATCCTTCTAAGCTGACATACTTCCCCAGGACTTTGCCATGCACGGTGTCCACCACAGGTGGCGAGGACGGGTGCCCTGCTGGACATGGGGAGGAGACGAGGACACATCAGAGATGGAAAAAACCAACTTAAAAAATGGTAGAAACGCTTTATGGTGCTTGGATTGGCTTTTGACCCACCCTGTCCCCAGCTTGGTGGCATCTTGAAGACCAGCAGCCCACGTTCCCAGTGTGGGATCCTGGTCCCTGATTCCAGAGGAGCAAAGCAGATCTTATTCAGAAATTATTGTACTTGACTCTTCCGACCTGTCTAGGGTCTGCCTGAGTATGATGTTCACCGTGAGTTGTTCATAAATACCCTTTATCATATTGAGCAATTTCCCTTCTATTCCTAATTTACTGAGAAATCCATAGAGACAGATTGCAGACTGGTGGTTGCCAGGGAGTGGGGGAAGAAGACAGTGGGGGAGAAACTTCTTAATGGGTAAAGGGTTTTAGTTTGGAGTGATGGAAACGTTCTGGAACTAGATAGAGGTGGTAGCTGCACAACATTGTGAATATACTAAAAGCCATGGAATTGTTCACTTTATAATGGTTAATGTTATGTTAGGTGAATTTCACCTCAATAAATTATTATTATTATTTTTTTTATTGTACTTCAGGTGAAGGCTTACAGAACAAATAGTTTCTCATGAAAGAGAAGTACACATGTTGTTTTATGACATTGGTTAACAACCCCAC